AAACGAAAGGATTCAGAACGTGCGCACTTGTTTACGAGAGCCATCCATTATATGTAGTGGAAATGGAGAAAACGAAGAAAGACCAAGGCGTGATAGAATTCAAGGGAAGTTTGGCCTGAGTCCGCGAGAGAGAAAGTCAAATCAAAACAGGTTTGGGTACAGAACGATGAACAATTCTATTAAAAGATGTTAGAGAACCAAGTTTCATTCTGCATCTGCACCCTTTCGTGCATATTCAAAGGAAAAATATGCGTACTTCTCGTTGTCAGCCAGTCGGCTGAGAAGAGTGGCTGCTTTGTCGTAGTGCCCCGTTTTTTCGTAGAATCGCCACAGCAAATCAAGATATCGCTGACCACGTCCGGCACTGATCTCGTGAGTTAGGAACTGCTCCACATACGGCGATTTGCTCTTAAAAATGACAAATTAACTTTACGGTCGTATTTGAAAACTAATGATTTTGCTCTAGTAAGAGCTATAGTGCATATGAAACAACTAGGATTGAATGACATATCATTCAAGCAAAGGTAGGGTAGGAATGAAAGAGCATAGTTCAATCTACGGAAAAGGGTCAAAAAGTTTAAAACGCCATAACCACACCCGTTCTTTTTCCATTAGTTGTTCTGTTAGTTCTACTTATAGGTTGTCTTATTTTAGTGATGAGATCTCGTTGTCACAGCGGTTTGCCTACTTATCGCATGCCATAATATGCGCCCAAGCAGCCACAGATGCAAAAACAAAAGCCATGGTGCAGGACCTCCGGGACAAGGTGGAAGTGGCTCATATACAAATGGCTATAAAGTGAGTTTTGAGACTGCCATTTTAAACACATGAACCCTTGAAAGCTTCTAGGTGAGTTCGGTAGGATTTAAGACTTTCCTTTTGTGTTTACAGGGATTGTGTAGATCTACAAACACCAAGCCAACAAAATCTTGTGAAACTGCTCGATGGCCCTATTCTTCCGCTGCATGATCTTCTACAAAAGTTCGCGGTGAGTCGAAAAATTTTGTACCACTTCAGACTAATAGCAGACCATGCGAGTAAGTCGGTTAACGGGATAATGGTTTCAGAGTCCACTCGGCTTGTACAAGGTACAATTGGCCATATTCCACTGTGCAAATCTTTATAGCGAAGAGCCGATAATGGCTGTGTGGGAAAATATTCTGCAGTCTGGTAGTGTTTATTTTGCTGAATCTTACGCTGCTTTGTTGAGAGATTTCAGCTACTAAAGCTTTCGTTTTTACAGAATTCAAATATGAAGGCGAGGTACCCGAACGATTACTGAGTACACTACATGATCTGCATTCAATTTATGGGCATACGAAGTATTTCCCTCGAAGTGAGTGGGCTCCGAGTTACAGCGTTGTTTCTGTTATAAAACTTCTTCATACTCCCTGTGTTTAGACTATATTTTGCGGCGGTTGCTTGAGCTTGGCTCGGGTATGACCGGACGATTGAAAAGAGGTGTCCTGCCTGCAAGCTTCTACGTGTCATTGATATCAAAATTGAACCTCAGTTTCATTGAATTTATAGAGCTTCTCTCATCGGAATACAGGTTAATATCTTTCCAATTTTATCTTTCGCTGTTCTAATTTTGACAGTGTTCTTACAAATTATTGTTATTCTCCAATCCTGCATATGACTTCGTAATTCAGAGCGGGTGATCCGTGGTGGACTCAGAATGAAAGTGGTCAACGATACATTATGGAAGTTGGTATAGCTGTTGTTCAAGCATTTCTCGATAGTGGAACGAAGTACACGCCTAGTGAGAGGTTTGTTGATTGAAATTTCAGTTTTTTGCTGGGTATTACAGAAATTTCCTACGACTTGATGCAAAGCCTTCTATGTGTTCAAGGAGAGCCAGAAATTTTTAACCCCAAAGAGCGAAAAGCTTTAGTTATTGATTGCGATAGTTGCGAAGCCCGAGGAGGCTCTCATAAGTGATGAGAGGAGGGCTCCATTGAGACAGTTTAATACATTCTGGTGGTTAGATGCTAGCCTGTTGTCCCGGTTTTTGATGTGACATGATGAATTTCAGAGCGAAAATCGCTAGCATGTGTGATTCTTGTGTGTCGATGTTTTCATTGGACGCTAGAGCGGTCTCTTCCACCCATCTTCTTCAACTCGATCGTCACTTCTCAGCTCTCCACCT